TCAAATAAAATTGATTACAAAAAGCAATAACTATTTATTTAATTTACAACCAAAACAAAATTGAATCAATTTAAATAAAACATTAAATAAATTGAAATTGAAATTTAAAAAAATAAAACAAATAAATAAATTAGCAATTTATGTTACAAAATAAAAAATAAAATAAAATAAAATAAAGTAAAATTAAATTAAATTAAATTAAATTAAATTAAATTAAATTAAATTAAATTAAATTAAATTAAATTAAATTAAATTAAATTAAATTAAATTAAATATTTTAAATTAACTACAAATCAGCTTTGAAATTTAGAAAGCAATCTGTTGGTATATAGCCATAAACTTTATTTAAGACATTTCAGGAAGCTCTACAATACTGCGTAGTAATTATAAAATAAGATTTAGTTTGATAATTGTGTGTATATTATAATATAAATGTTAAACTTTCCATCTACCCGGTAATCACAGAAAACACATATTTTAACATAATATAATTCTGAGAAAAAAATATATATCTTTAAGCATATAAATGAGAAAAGCAACCACTATATTTCAGCTAAATATTTTTTTTCAGTCCGTTAAAGCATTTGTTTTCAGTGTATTATTGAACGTTCTGCCATTTGTAAGGCTAATTAGTTGAATCCTTAGGTCATCTGTCCATATAATCAATGCCTTCATTAAAGTAGATGGATCCAGATGCCGCTCATATTGGCCTTTTTGAAAAACACCCCACAAAATAATAGTAATTAGCTTCTCATCACACTGATGAGGCTGTTGATGATGTAAAACAACACATTCATTACTCAGCGCCGCTGCTTTACCCTTCAGATAATTACAATGCAGTAAATCATGCAAATACTGAGAGAAACTGAGCTTTCTGTCACGCCACAAACACCACTGTAACATCCACACACACAAATACTAGCCGTAGTGTATGAGTGTATGTGTGTGAATGAGTGTGTATGGGTGTTTTCCAGTACTGGGTTACAGCTGAAAGGTCATCCGCTGTGTAAAACATATGCTAGAATAGTTGGCGGTTCATTCTGCAGTGGTGACCTCTGAAATAGAGACTAAGCCGAAGGAAAATTAATAAATTAATTTTACAATTTCCATACAAATAAATGCAACCCCAGTCAGACTTTTTCCTTTTTAATTTCGTTTCTGTGGATGTTGCTCATTCATACATCATTTAAGTGTGCGTGCATGAGTGTGTGTCTGTGTAGTCGCTCTCATTCGACCCTTCACGTCTGTTTAATATCTCTCTCATTGCTTATCTCTAATGAGCTCTTAAAAAGCCATTTGAAGATGAATTTGCGGGCTCTAATGTGACTCCTGATAAGATACAGGAGATAAGTTTCGATAAAGAGCAGAGCACACACACAGCAGAGGCTCAGCAATTAGCCGGCGTGGAGTGTTTTGTCCAGAAAGCTGCTCTTCTAGTCCCTCCATCTGTCCTGAGATCTGCTGTTTCTGTGTTCATTACACTTTAACTGCGCTGATTAAACAAGGCTTTGGGAACACTCGAGGACGACACAACACTGGAGGAGTGCGAGGAGACACTGTGTGCGCGTGTGTGACTGTGAAACACACATGAGATACAGTGAAAATCATGACTTTTACTGATATAGTGCATGTGTTTGGACTGTTGGTGAAACAGCAGCACCCTGAGGAAACCCACGCCAACACTGGGAGAACATGCAAACTCCACACAGAATAGCTGGGACTCAAACCAGTGACCAGTGCACGGTGTAAAGTAACAAATTATTCATTCATTCATTCCTTTTCTTGTCGGCTTAGTCCCTTTATTAATCTGGGGTCGCCACAGCGGAATGAACCGCCAACTTATTCAGCAAGTTTTTACGCAACAGATGCCCTTCCAGCCACAACCCATCTCTGGGAAACATCCACACATACACACACACACGCTTATACACTAAGGACAATTTAGCCTACCCAATTCACCTGTACCGCATGTCTTTGGACTGTGGGGGAAACCGGAGCACCCGGAGGAAACCCACGCGAACGCAGAACGCAAACTCCACACAGAAACGCCAACTGAGCCGAGGTTCGAACCAGCGACCTTCTTGCTGTGAGGCGAACGTGCTACCCACTGAAAGTATAAAAATTAGTCTTTCGATTCTTGTCCAATCAAATCGCACGTAGAAGGTAAAGTGCATCTTACTGAACAACCCAAAGACATGGGTGCTTTAAGAATGCACCAAACCTTTTGGAAGTGTTAAAAATGTCCAAAATCTTAGCACACAATGACCCAGTGGGTGTAGACTGTATGTCACTGATGAGAAAACGAAGATGTCGACTATATGGCGAGTGAAATCACCAGACAGCCTTAAACAATCACTGAACAGAACGAAAGTAGAATGGAAGGAAGGGCCGACTGAAGGAAAGTCCGAACAAGGAATGGAAGGAAGAAACGAATTAAGGAAGGAAGGACCAAACGGATGAAGGAAAGATTCAGGGAAGGACTGAACAAACGAAGGAATGA